CTTAGTTACAGGCCAACCCAGACAGCTGCTCTTTGTTTGAATGCACACCTGATGTACAGAGTCTTTTCTGTCTAGAGAGGTTTGTAGACCTTTTCCCATGATCCAGAAATTTCAAGGTGCTGTGTTATACACAACAAGCATTATATCTCCAGCATGATGCTGTGCTTCACTCCTGTCAATCCCTGATGCTCTTGCAGTTGAGGTAAGTATTCTTTAACCCACATTTCCAGAACAGTTCTGACATGTATGGCACCTACTTCCATCATAAACTGTAGGACAAAATGAATGGCAAAGGTGTTGGCAGGCAAACTGTTTCTTTAGATCTCTGAGATGTTTTTGTACCAATACTAGAGCAAAAATATGGAAAAGACTTCCCCTAACCGCTTTACACAACTTAGATTATGTCATTTGTTGTGTGTCCCTGTCTGTTAATGGGGTTAAATGCAATTCTGACCTGTGCCTTACTGAAAGGGATACAAAAATGTTAAAAATGTTAAAGGGATCCCTGCCTCTCCCCTGATTGGCTGCATTCTCTCCTCAGTGTGGTTTGACTGAGCTGCTGTTTAATCAGCAGCAAGTGAAGACACCTATGCATGGCTGCTCACCTGCCTCTCATCAACACTGCTCTGCATTAGACTGGCTCAGACCTCACTCTGCCACATCATCACTTAGACACATACTTGACTCCCTGCTTCGGTTGGTTCCCCTGCATTGTTCACCCCCACCTCTTAGGAAATCCAGCGGGTTCTGCTACCTGTTTTCACTTCTATTCTCCCAAGATCTCTGGACCTTAAACAAGCTATCTGGTTCCCCTACCTGTCTCTTAGTCGTGATCTGCCAGTTAGGTTTTGCTTAACATTTAACTTAATGTTTGTCTGTGTTGTTTTTCCACCACTATCTCTGTCTGTTCTTGTGTTCTCTTGTTGTGTTCGCTGTAACTCTCCTAGGCTTGTCTTACTGGGTTTTGGTCAGCTTTTGCTCTCCATCTTTGTCCAGCCGGTAGTTGATGTATGTCTTACCCTGTAGATGTAGCAATATGTATTTAGCATTATCCCCTGCCCTGTCCCCCAACTTTTTTTTGTTAATTAGTTTTCTTAGTAGTGTTAGTTACTCTTAAGTTTTGGTGTCCTTGGTTTGTTACATTTACTCTCCCTCGTTCACTTAGCCTTTAGCTTAGTTTGTTTGCTTAGTCACCTCCCCTTGCTAATTCCCTCTGGGTTGTTTCGTCTGTATTTGGTACCTGCACTTACCTGGTTTAACCTTGTAATTCACTTTTGCAATACTTTCTTTATTAAGTCTCTGATCTTGTTGTCCTCAGTGTCTGCTCCTGGGTTCTCTGTAAACTGTGATACAGACATGAGGCTGATATTTTCAGAGGCTTTCAGATGAATGAAAAGGAGTGCATGTCTGAAAGAGGCTTAAGACAGGTCAGCAGACTGACTGTGAATTCAATCACCCTCCCTAATGGCTCTAAATAAATTTAAGCAATTGCAATATTTTTTTTCTTCGTTTTGCAGGTGGTGATTGGATAATCAGACGGGCGAACCAATTAAGTCAGATAACCAGAACGAGCAGTTTCGCCCTACAAATATGCTGGCAATGTCATGCTTCAGTAAAACCTTGTTGTGCTTCCATTAACTCTACAACAGAAACTGGACTGTACTTGGTAAAAACTACATATTACAGGGTGGGTGTTAAATATGTGAAGCTAATTTCTCTAAGGGTTAGGTTCTTTTTTTTTTTTTTTTTTTTTTTTTTTAAGTAGAAAAAAAGTAGAAAAACAGCCTGTTTTCAGTGCAGAGTTTGAATGTTTCCTTCAGTCATTCTGACTTCTCTTCTGAAGAAGTGAACCCCAAATATGGAAAAGGCTAGCGATCGTCAGCTAAAAGAAACTATGTGCATACTTGGTGACATCTGTTCTCCTGCAGAGAGGCAGTGCTCCCTTATGTTCAAAAATAGATAAAGTCTGATAAAATACTACATGCTGTATTTATTTATTCAGTAGCTTAATCCCTCCAATGCCTAATCCTTACATTCTTTGCATTACATGTATCAGCTCATCTGAACCTTTAATCAAGAAATCCCGATTCACTACACATTGTCTCCCCTCAAATGACACATTTGTGATATATAAGATAAAACAAGTATCTTTATGTTAATATTCCAAGTAGTTTCAAGGTACTCTGGGGATGTACTGACTGGGAAACTTATGATTGGTTCTCGCCATTCAAATAAGCTTCATTGCCAACCATACTGGTGCGTTTTCACTAAAAATATAAAGAACTAATGTTTGATCATTCACACCAACCCAGTTAACACATAGTACAAAGGTTAGGCTTAAGTTTTATGTTCAGCTTTGACTGGACTGTAATACTCAGTAATATTTTAAAGTTCTAATGTAATGATAGCAATTGTAATTATTTAATTAGAATCATCATTTTATATCAATAGTTTATACATATTTTTTGTCTTTATTTTATACTCATTGTTCTTCTGGAGTGTAAATGTCATTCCTTGCTATGTAAGTGGGACCCTGTGTTATGTGCACACAGATTCTCATATGTACAAAGCACACAAGTACATATAAAACTGACTAAAATGTTTCATTGTATTTTAGTTGTAATTCTATTTCACATCTATGCAACGATGCTTTCCTCCAGCTTCTGGCTTGACCACACCAATTAACCTCAGCATGTTTTTGGACTGTGGGAGGAAGCCGGAGAACCCGGAGAGAACCCACACTGCCCGGGGAGAACATGGAGACTCCACACAAGATCCCAGATTAACTGGGGATGTTCTAGCTGCGAGGCAATGATGCTAACCACCAAGCCACTGTGCAGCCCCAACAATAAACATAAATAATAAAATAATAAAACAAAACAATTGTGGTGTGTGTGAATGGGCCATTGAAACTCACTGACCACTGTTAGATAGGAGCGCAAGTTCACAGGCACACAAACACACACACACACACACACACACACACACACACACACACTTGCAAATCAGACAATGCACTTTAGCATCACAATCTCTACCTTTGTATTATTTATGAAGTGAATTTTCTCATTTTTTTCTATTGCTTTTAAAGCAGGGGTGTCCAAACTTTTTTCCGAGGACCAGATTTGATAATGTGAAAATGCCCGAGGGCCAACCATCCTGCCTGACACTCTGTGATCCATTAAAGTTAAATACAAATGCACTGTTTTCTCGATTTTTTTTATTTCAAATGACATCGTTTTCATTTCTTCACATGGGAATGCAAATGAATGTAATCTACCCAGGCATAAACAGGTCTTAACAAAATCATTTTACGTTTCCTATCTGGAGAGCCATGTTACATAAAGAGGTGTAAAGCTGTCTGGGGATAAAAACTTCCAGGAAGCTGATAAATATCTTAAGTTGATTTTAAACGTGACTTATCATAGGTAATGAAATGTTGTCTGTCAACTTTTAAGTTCAAAACATATAACCATTTCACATATGTCACACCTGAAGTCACAAACAATGCAATATATCAAGTGCCATAAGTCCAAGTGCATATAATTATAAATGTGCTTTTGACCAAGACTAATTTGTGGTGTTTTCATTTAACTCACGGGCTTGAATGAAGAACCGCTGCTGTGAAGCTAAGACAGCTTCCTGTTGCTTCACGTTCTCGGAGCAGCCGCTACTGGATAGTTTGTCATGTGCATTAAAATGTTTTGACTGCTGGTGTATCTTTACAATGAATTCCTAATACATGGTAACAATCTCTTTGCAATTTAGACAAACACAATAGCTACATATTTCAGTTAAGAGATATTGCAATTTCCACCTGTCCTGGAAGCGGAGGCCCTCACAGTCAACTTCCTTTTTTTATCTGCAGTTGCCAATTCAGAAATTAGCTGGAAAGGGTCCCAGCAGGGTCAAAAGGTCAGAGTGTAGCAACACAGTGTTGCTAATATTTGGTGACACAGAAAATAGCATTTTGTACCTGAATGACTCTTTGACAGCACTTGCGGGCCATAAATTAGACATTTTATGACAGAGGCGGGGTTGTATCAAATCTGACGACAGGCCACAACTTGTCCCCTGGCCGGACTTTGGACATGCCTGATTTCAAGAAATTTTTTTCTTACTTCTGATGGAGTGAATAACGAAGATGGCCACATAAAAGAACTCTCCGACTCACTTAGACCCCCCCTAAAATAGTGATTAAATATTTCTAAATATGGTCAACAGGTGTGTGACTGACTAATATAACGAGAAAAAATGCAGTCGATACAGAAAACCCTGCCACAATACGGTCTGACAAGCCAAAACCAACTCCCATAGACAAGGAGAGAAACATGGCTACTGGCCAAGCTGTGAATCCACAAATTGATATGGTATCAGCGCTAACCACCATAAAAATGCCACTACAAGGTGTCGCCTTGGTGGTTTAAGCTATGGTTGAGAAGTTGGGGTCTCACATGGCTGAAGATGAAGCCCGGATTTCAGCGCTTGTGCATTAAGACCAAATGAGGGGCAAGCGCGGTGGACGCCGCAGTGGCGGCAACCATTGCGCAGCTGCAGGAAAAAGTTATTTCTCTCAAGGATGCTGTACGGTGCAACAATGTTCATATAGTTGGAGATGAGGAGGGAACTGAAAGGCAGAGATATGGTCAAATTTATAAGCAGTTTTCTTTCTGAAGCACTAGATGTGGTGGTGAGGCGGGACTTTGAAATCGAGTGCGAACACAGAGTCAGCAAAGATCGTCACTTTATTGTGCTGTTACTGAAGTTCAGAGTCTGGGAGGTTGTTATTTGGTGGGTTCCTCGATGGGTTTAGGACTTGAGGTTTCACACACTTTGCTGTTGGGTTCTAGAGTTAAAGTTATGGTGAACCATGCTATTCTTCAATGGTTCGCACAGGAGTGCACTTCTTACTTACTTTTGTTCATTTTCTTTTATTATTATCAACATGTTGGTTACGCAGGGGAACACTTACTCCAGGGCTTATATTATTCTTTCCAAATTCATATTTGTTTAAAGGTTGGGTTTGAAGGCTTAGGTAAACAACAAAACAAAAAAACAAGAAGACAGAACTAATTGGGTAACATGGTTGGTATGGTTAAGATATTGTCATGGAATGTAAAAGGGGCAAATCAGGCTATTAAGAGGAAGAAGCTTCTTCTGTTATAAAAACAGAAAAAAGTGGACATCTGCTTATTTCAAGAGACCCATCTGTGTGCTGAGGAGTCTAATAAACTATAAAGAGACTGGGTGGTTAGAGTATTTTTCCATGCTTATTCATCTGAATAGAGGGGTGTTAGCATCCTAACTCTTAAGAATCAGATTTTTTTGCTGATATATGTAATATAGCAAATCAATTGGGTAATTCATGTCTTTATTGGGGGGTATATTAACCAGGTGAGAAATTCGACAAGTCGACACCCGCAAATAAAAGACCAACACAAAAATCTTTGTTAGCAGCTGATACTCTGATAGAAGAATTAGGATGGGTCGACATTTGGAGACTCTTACACTCTCATGAAAGGGAACATACTCAAACCCTCATTCTACCTACTCGCAGATAGACTACTTTTTATTATCTAAATGGTTAGTGGGTATGACTATTAATGTATCTATTACTAATATTATATACCATCAGATCATGCCCCAGGAGAGACAGTTTTACACATTGGGCCTAGATCTAGGGAGCCTATAACCCATTGTGGACAAAATATCTCATTGCTTCAAAATGAAAAATCTAGTACCTTTAACAATCAGGAAATTTTGGAATGTTGGGATTAAAACAAACACTTAGCCTCAAACCCCGGCCTACACTGGGATGCATTTAAAGCTTACTTGAGGGGTTGCTTGATATAACACTGCTCATATCTTAAAAAGCATTCTAGTAGGTGGTTGCAGGAACTAGAAAAAGAAATCAAGGATCTTGAAAAAACATATGCACATCAATGAAATCTAATAGCAGCCTTGCACCTCAGTAAGCTTAAGCTTCAATTGAATTCCATTGTGCAGAATAAAACAGAATTTCAGTGTGAGCAGAGGTATTATGGAAGCTGCAGGAAAATTCTTGCCTCAGAGGGTAAAATAACAATATAGTTGCACTTCATTATCTGCTATAAAGAATGAAAAAGGGATCTTTGTGAATTACAGACCAGATTAATCACATACAAAATTATGCATAGATGTTTTTGGACCCCATGTAAAATAGCCAGACTACAATTACGGAACTCGGATCTGTGTTGGAGATGACATATAAGGCACACTTACATATGTTTTATGAATGTCAGCTGACCCAGAACTTATGGAAGAATATAATAGTAATTTATCAACAAAGTGCTAAGTACAAAATTTGTGCAAAATTCAGTACTTTGTATACTTGGAGTACATAGGAAGGAGGAGGCCAGATGTATGGAAGTAGCGAGGCCGACTCACACAGAACACAGAAAAACTGAGCCATATTACTGGCTGGAATGCTGACAGGGCATGGAGGTCAGGTAAATGGACAGAATCATACATTTTTCTTCATGCCTTTCATACTTTTCTTTTGGCTGTCGCCACACTCTTCCCCCTGTAAGATTTGTCTGAGGGTGGTAGGTAGATGTTAATTTGGGTGGCACATTCCATATTCTGCAGGGGGCTTGGAAGATGGAGGACGTAATCTGGTATACCCCAACTGGTGTAAATTTCCTGGGTGAGGATACGAGAAAGAGACTCAGCTGTTACTACCCTCAAGGGAAAAAGCTCTACCCATTTGGAGTAGTAATCCACAAATACAAGCAAGTACAGATTTCTACTGGAGCTTCTAGGAAAAGAACCCATTAAATCCACACCTAGCATTTCCCAGGGTCATCCTACAACTGTTTGCTGTTATCTCCCTGCTGGTTTGCGACTCTTTGGTTTGTAGAGTTGACAGACTTGGCAATGTCTCATATATTGCTTGACATCCCAGCATCTTTGGCCATTAAACCAGATTCTGCATCCTCTGGTAGGTCTTGTACCTTCCCAGAAGGCCGGCCAGAGGGTCTTGGTGGAACAAGTAAGCAATTGTGAATGCATGCTCTTGGATTTGAATACCTGGTAAGTAGTTTTGTGAGGCAGCTTTACAACCCGGTAGACCATGTCCTCAAATATAGTGAAGTTGGTATTCATGTTCACCTCCACATTTCCCTTTTCTATAAAGTTTTGTTATATGGCTTGACTTTCAGGGTTTTTCTGCTGGGTGCTCCACACTGTCTCAATGGTAATACATAACTCTTTTGAGGAACTTGGCAGACATAATGGTGGTACAAATGGAGTCGTGAGTAGATTCTTTATTATCACTTGGAGCTCTAGACAGGGCATCTGGGACTGTGTTATATTTCCAGATCAGTCGGGTACTAGGTTTGGTGGTTCTGAATACCCATAGGAGTGAGGAGTGATCTGTCAACACTGTAAAAAGGTGTCACTCAAGATACATGCGCCATGTTTCTACAGCCCATACCACTGCCAGACATTCCAGCTCTGTGACGGAGTAGTTCTTCTCAGCTGGGTTCAAACTACGACTGCCATAGGCCAGAATTTCCTCATGACCATGTTCTGAACACTGAACCAGCACAGCACCAAGGCCTACTTCACTAGCATCAGTGTAAACTAAAAATGGAAGGCCGAAGTTTGGATGCCCCAGAACAGGAGGATGTACCAGGTACTGTTTCAGAGTTTCAAATGCAGATTGGCATTCAGAAAACCTTCAAGAACTTCACTCCCTTTCTTTTTAGGGCATTGAGTGGCTTTGCAATTTGACAGACATTTGGTACAAAATGGTGGTACCATCCAGCCATGTCAAGGAAATGTTCAAGGGACTTCCTGTTGGTGGGCACTGGGAAGTCTTGAACAGCTTGAGTTTTCTCAGGGTCAACCTGAACTCCCTTGGATGATACCACATGTCTGAGGAAGGTCAGGGAGGTACGGAAGAATTTACTTTTCTTCATATTTACTGTGAGGCCCGCTTGCCTGAGCTTATCCAT